CTCTCTCTCTCTCTCTTCTCTCTCTCTCTCTTCTCTCTCTCTCTCTTCTCTCTCTCTCTCCTCTCTCTCTCTCTCGCTCTCTCTCTCTCTCTTCTCTCTCTCTCTCTCGCTCTCTCTCTCTCTCTCTTCTCTCTCTCTCTCTTCTCTCTCTCTCTCTTCTCTCTCTCTCTCTCTCTCCTCTCTCTCTCTCTCCTCTCTCTCTCTCTCGCTCTCTCTCTCTCTCCTCTCTCTCTCTCTCCTCTCTCTCTCTCTCTCTCTTCTCTCTCTCTCTCTTCTCTCTCTCTCTCTTCTCTCTCTCTCTCTCTCTCTCTCTCCTCTCTCTCTCTCTCGCTCTCTCTCTCTCTCGCTCTCTCTCTCTCTCTTCTCTCTCTCTCTCTCCTCTCTCTCTCTCTCTCTTCTCTCTCTCTCTCTTCTCTCTCTCTCTCTCTCCTCTCTCTCTCTCTCTCTTCTCTCTCTCTCTCCTCTCTCTCTCTCTCCTCTCTCTCTCTCTCTCTCCTCTCTCTCTCTCTCCTCTCTCTCTCTCTCTCTTCTCTCTCTCTCTCTTCTCTCTCTCTCTCTCTCTCCTCTCTCTCTCTCTCTCTCTCTCTTCTCTCTCTCTCTCTCTCTCTCTCTCTCTCTCTCTCTTCTCTCTCTCTCTCTTCTCTCTCTCTCTCTCTCTCTCTCCTCTCTCTCTCTCTCCTCTCTCTCTCTCTCTCTCTCTCTCTCTCTTCTCTCTCTCTCTCTCTCTCGTTTATCTTACCCTGATGAATATGACTGGCATTTGTGGATGGAGTTCCTTCAATCGGGAATCAATCAGTATAGAATTATCGTTGTCCCAAGAAGCACCTTCGAGGAACAGCCCGTGGACGTAGGCTCCCTCCCGTGGCGGCGACCTGTAGGTGCGAGAGATCAGAGAAATAGTGAGTCTGTGCGTGTGCTTGTGAAACTTTTTCATAAAATCTACATTACATACAAATGACCCGTACCATATATAAACGATATACAGCAAAGTAAAGAAGAAAGCTCATAAAGAAGAAAACGAAGACATATTCTCACGTAAAGTCTTCCTTATTTTTCTTGGTGACGTCACACTGTAGGCACATCTGGTCGAGGGGAAGCTCGCACTTGCGGGCGGTGCTCTGCATGATGGCCGTCAGGAAGCTCTGCGGGTTGAAGAAGCCGGCCAGCCACACCGACGGCGGCACCTGCGGGGCAGATCATCAGATTATGCTCTTATAGACTACTCTCGATATTCTTGGTCAGACTGTTAGACCTCAACGCTCTCTGTATAAAAGATAGATTTTAAAAAGTGTGCTGTTTCTCTGCTTACTATATCTATATCTTGAAAAAGTGAACGAAACAAATAAAACTAAATAATGTCTGTTGAAACATACCTCTCATAATGATGAATGTTTAAAGACACTTTTGGCCATAACACTACGAACGTTACCTGGAAGTCGCCGACCCAAGTCTCCAGCTCCTTCATCCTAAGCAACAGGTCGGCATACCAAGACGTGAGCCCGAGGGTGGAGGCATACGCCCGCGCCGCCCACGAGTCGGGCACTTGGTCGAGGAACAGCGCTGCACCCAGGTCCTCCATCGCTGAGGTTATCTTCAGCTCTCCCTAAGACAGGAGGGAAAAGCTGGAATTAGTCCAGTTCTTTATACGTTTTGGTGATTTTTTTTCTTTTAGACGTTGCGACGTACTTTGATATTATAATTTCTATTTGCCTACTACTCACCTTCAAACGGAACTGTTAACAGCATGCATCGGTATATAAGAACAAGGCTATAGATAAGGCTCTAAACTTCTTAAAAAAAGACTCCCTCATACCTTGAAACCCAAGTCTAGCTCCTTGAGAGACATCCGGATGATGCGGATGAGGAGGTTCATCCGCTCGCACTCCTGGAAGGCGACCACGACGTAGGGCGTCCGCTCCTCCACCTTGCCTGTGATGTCGGACATGTTGAACTCCTCGGGCAGTTTCTCCAGGATCTCATCCAGGGTCTGCTTCACCTGAAAGGAGCAAGAGAAAAGGTTTTACAATCCTCAGTTCCGAATGCTTTGAGAAACGGAATTTGGAATGTGGATGAGTTACGTAAACCCCAGAAAGGATTCCTTCCTTCATTGGGAGGAGGACAGATAAACGCTATTATAAAGATAACATCACCATCCTAGTCGCTTTTATAATCATAGGTATTGAATAGAGGTCAAAGGACCACAGGGAATGCCTTGCCTTGTCCTCCCTTGTGATGACGACACCGCTTGTGTTCCCCATGTCTCGCGGTTGGAGCTCGAACACCGTCTTGAAGAGGTGCTCTGACGTCATGGTGAGGAATCCGATCTCGGCATTGGGGTGGAGGCCGTACAGGTGGGGCGATTCTTGGGGGAGACACGTGTCTATGTAGCTGTGGTAGCCTGAGTAATCCAGGTTGGGAGGCGCTGGGAAGCCCGGTGCGAGGTTCAGCTCTCCATCCAGCTGCAGATGGTGATTAATTAACGTTGGGTTAGAGAGATTCAGGGAGATCAATATATTTCGTTTGTATGTTTTTCTCTCTTTTGATCAAAAGAAAATATGAAAACCACTAACTCGAGTAGTTACAGCATTACAAGCAGAAAAGGAGACCAAACCACGCAGAAGCTTTTTAACTATCCGAGTAGTTATGTTGAATAGACAACGCTGATGGAACAGACCCTATCACACAGCTACCTGGTCTGGGTGAAGGAACTCCTCGAGGTATGTGCGACACAGCCTGCGGTCCCAGTCATCAGTGATGTGGCCGCCGTACATGATTTCCCCGAAGAGGTAGCGGAGGTCCTCCCAGGGAACCTTGCAGTTCGCCTCCAGGTAGTTGAACAGGACGTTCACGCTGATGGTCAAGTCCCCTGAAACAGACAAACTATTAGTATGTACAACCTGTTACAGAAACAAGGAAGCGATCTACTAGGATAAATCTCTCCATAGTATTTGACAGACAGTTTTTAATTAGTAGGCAAATAAGATAATTTCTAATGTTCTTCATTAACAGGATGGCCACTTCTGTCCCCAAGCGCACCCGTGTTGAAGGGATAGGGTCTGTTCCATCCCTGCGACCCGAACTTTCTCCTTTCCGCGACGCATGCGTGGAAGTAACACAGAGAGAACAAGAGGGACTTGAATTCGGCCTCTTTCGAACACATCTCGAGCGTGTCCTGCGTGAAGTTGTTGAGCGCCTTGTGGAGGTTGGCTTGCATGCCCCGAGGCGGCTCGTTGGTGATCTTGATGGCCGACTCCAGGATGCCCTGTGGCAGAGGATGAAAAAGGTGTCACTTACTCTTACTAACAATAAGATATGCTGATAAAACAATCGCAGATCCATTCTAAATAAATGAAAAATTACTAATGAAGAAAGACCTGCGGCAGGATGTGGTTCTCGGGCTTGCTTGCGGGCTCAGCGCTCATGAAGACCCTGTACTCCTGGTGAGCTCCGTCCGCGTGGATTTCTAGCTTTTTCTCCAGTCGCGGAAGCCATTGTCTCACCAGATGAATGTTCTGCAGAAAATAAGATCATATTTCACTTCTATCTGTCGAGTTATCTGATAAATAAATGTCCACATATTATTCAACCTAAAATGTGTGGATGCGATGGAGTATCAACGGCGTGTGATAAGAATAACACACCTGCAGGATGACCCAATGGCCCTCCCTGGCCGCGATCTGAATGGCCTCCTCCGCCACCTTCTCCTGCCCTTGGCCCAGAGACACGTTGTGCAGACGCCGGTTCTCGCAGGTGTAGCCCAGGCTGTGCCCGAGCCGCTCGACGTCCTGTGGTAATTAAGAGCCTCATTAAGGGAAAGGGAGGGAGAAGGAAAGAGAGGGGAAGAGGAAGAGAGGGAAAGCATGAGGCAGTGGGGGGAATAGAATAGAATAGAGAGAGAAAGAGAAAGAGAAAGAGAGAGAGAGAGAGAGAGAGAGAGATAGAGTGACTGAGAGAGAGAGAGAGAGAGAGAGAGAGAGAGAGAGAGAGAAAGAGAGAGAGAGAGAGAGAGTGAGAGTGAGAGAGAGAGAGTGAGGAAGAGAGAGAGTGAGAGAGAGAGAGAGAGTGAGAGTAAGAGAGTGACTGCGTATAGAAAAAGTGAAAAATACTAAGACTGGTTTAATGCGTTGACAATAACACCGCAAACAGCATCTAAAATTATCCATATGCATAGACGAACCTACGTAAAAGTTAATCATTCAGTCATAAAAAAAGTAAAATATGCTTCCTTTCGTCATCAGCTGACCTTGAGAGGGTCGACGCCGGGGGAGAGGATGAAGAAGATCGGCGTGGACGGCCCGCTCTCCTCGTAGCTCTGCGAGAAGTCGATGTTCTCGCCCTCCACGTACTTCCTCCCCATCCGCTCCTCGATGAACAGCCTGGGGGGGGGGGGGCGAAGGGGGCGGGTCAGTCTTGGGGAATGAAGGTGTAGCTCTGCTGATGGATGAACCCTTATTTCTATTAATTTCATGTGCTCCCTTTCCTTCTTAATCTCTCTCTCTCTCTCTCTCTCTCTTCTTTTCCTCCCTTTTCTTCCATTTTCCTCCCTTCTTTCTGTCTTTACTTCCGTCTACGTCTCTATCTTTATATGTGTTTCTCTAACATAATCTCCATCTCTATCTTTACCTCTTTTTGTTTTGTCTCCATACTCTGTCTGTCTGTCTGTCTGTCTGTCTGCCTGCCTGTCTGCCTGTCTGCCTGCTTGCCTGCCTGTCCCTTCTTCCTTTCCTCCTACTCTCTTTCTCTCTCTCTCTCTCTCTCTCTCTCTCTCTCTCTCTATATATATATATATATATATATATATATATATATATACATATATATATCCATCCGCCATCCAAGCCAAGGCGACTCACTGCATGGCGTGCGTCATGCGGTCAGGACGCAGCGCCCTCATGATGACCAGCCGCTGCACGTCGGACTTGCCCTTCCACTCCCCCGGTAGCTTCTCCTTCTCGGGCGCCTCGCACTCGCAGTACATGCGCCACCGCTTCACGCTGTTCTCCAGGTCGCGGTCCAGGTTCCTGTGCGGTGTTAGTCGGTTTTAATACGATAGAAAAGAGTAATAACTGTTTTTTTTTTTTTCAATCCAATTATTTCTTAGAGTTTAAGGTTATTGACATTGAAATATGACAATTCTGTTGTGACTCGGACGGGCAATGCTTTATATACCCTTTTCGTAGATAAATGGAAGCGTCTTGTTTTCTCTTCAAGGCAGAGTTATTTTTAATAGCTGTGTCCCATTAATATCTGAGCCCTAGGAACTCTGGGTCTTTACCTGAATTCGTCGACCTGCGAGAGGGAGCGAATCGCGCCCCAGTTGTTGTTGGTGATGAAGTCGATGGGCGACACCACGTTCGGCTGAATCGGGAAGCGAAGCAGAAGGTCCAGCTCGATGGCGCCCACCTCGCCCTGGGAGGCAAGGACCTGAAAAGAAGCGATTTTGACCTACTGTTGTATATCACCAATATCGTGTTAGAAACAAAGTAAATTCAATCTAATTTGTGACTTGTAGACATAAGAGTTCACGGTTGGTCATTATCTTGGAAAGACAGATACCATCAGCAGCAAAAATAAATTGAGAGAACATGGATTCATGAATGTGAATAGCTGCAATGAACCAGAGGAAACATGCTCGCAGTATTGCACGTGCAGCAACACAACTAGGAGATGAACCCAATAATAATGAATTAACAATACCGTACAATGCTGAGCCAGGTAACATACCAAGCATTCATAGTGATTCATAAAAGACGGTAAAGAATGAAACTGAAGTAAAATGAATGAATGTAATAAATCGAAAGGTGAATCGAGACTTCAATCGTTTGACTCACTTGGAAGGTCATCTGGGCGGCGAAGATGAGCTTGTCCTTCTCGAAGAGTCCTCTGGTGGTGTAGAGGAACACACTGTATGTGATGGTGTCGATGAGGGCGTTCACGCGCAGCCGCACCTCGTCGTTCGCCTCCGAGCGCTCGATGGCCTGCTGGAACACCACTCGGAACGCCTGGCGGGAGAACAGGCCGGGGGGAAATGGGCTACAGGGTTCTCCTTTAATTTTCTTCAAGAAAATACAGTAACAGAAAAAGCACATCGTCAATGAATTTCAATTTTGTGGAGCCGTAGGTCCAGCAATCATGAATACTTAGCACGCTCGCCCGATCTTAAGGCGAAGTTTCTCGCTGAACGAAGGTGAAAACCAACCTTAAGAGAGAACTGGTAGATGGGGTTGATCTTGTGGAGGTCGTTGAGGATGAAGTAGAGGAGGGAGGCTCGGGCGGCGGCGGGGCGGTAGAGCTCGCGGGCCTCGTCGATCTGCGCGCTTGTGTTGCGGGCTTCGGCGACCTGCGCAGGCACGGAGGAAGGAGGTGAGTACATTTGCTTATTTCGGGTTTATGGATAAATTTGCTGTCTCAAATATTATCGAGATTAACTCGTAAGTTTATGATGATACAGTCTACTTCTGAGGCATGACAGAGTGAAAGAATACAATTACCTTCTCCTGAATCTCCTGGGCCGTGGCCTTCGTGTGCTCCAGATTCTCCACCAAGGCCGTGTCTCCCAAGAAGTTTCCTCCGGCGGACGACAGGCGGCTCAGCAGGTCATCCTCCAGGTGCTTCAGCTGAATCTTGAAGTCGTTCTGTTGCTTTGTCAAGTTATACTGAAACGCAAAGGAAACAGCGTCTGTAAAGCCTTTGAATGTCGGTATTTGGGTATTATATGGGTGCTAGCTAGCCGCTGTCTTTTCCAGGTAGTTATCCACAGTCAGCTCTTCCAGAAGCCACCAAGAATTACCTTGAGCTCCTCCAGGTCTGGCCTCTCGGCCTTCACGACCTCCGCCAGCAGCTGGTCCTCGAGCCCGTCGCGCGTCACCGTGAAGTTGATCAAGGTGCACTGCGCCTGCAGTTCGGGCTTGTAGTGCGGGTTGGCCAGCTTGGTATGGAGGATCAGCTGGAATGTGTCGTTGTATTCGATTTCCCGGTCGCCGATTTTAAGTGCCCTGGGGAAGTTGCATTTATTGAGTGAATACAGGAAATGTAATGACTTGTTCATGGGAATTGCAAATAACTAACTTCGGTACTATGACAATTATATTTGCAAACTTTCAGTTCTTCTTTTATTAAGTCACCCTTTTTTTTTACCTGGTCTTCCCACCCACCCACAATCCCTTCTCCCTCCACCCACTCCCACTCCCTCCCTCTCCGCCCTCTCACCTTCCGCGCTTGATGAGGTTCTTCCCGATAAGCGGGTCGAGCACGGGGTCGAGGCTCTCCGGGAGGTTCTCGATGAGGACGGTCTCGCCCCGGGTGATGGCGGCCTCCAGGACGTCGATGGAGTTCTTCTGGTCGAGGCGCACCACGATCAGCTGTTCGCCGTACCTCGCCTTGATCCACTTGATGCCCTGGAGCTGTGTGGGGCGGAAAGGATTGAATGGATGGGTGTCGAAAGTTACCTGCTTCAAGATTTGCTCGTTACGGAAGTATATTATGTATAATGAAAGACAAGAAACAGCGTCTTTTGCTTAGGAATATCTCTTGAAGGAATGGAAGAACCCATCTATTAATGCCTGGAGCCATAGTCCTGCAATCAGTTCCAGAGCTTCAGATGGTTCAGCAGGAAAGGGAGGCAGCGTAGCTTGTACCTGCGGGTCGATAATGAGTGGCCATCGATCGGAGTTGGTGAGGATGATGGCGTTCTCGGTGGACATGCGGTCGGACGGGAGGCCCTCGTTGTTCCAGCCGGCGATCGTCGCGTCGTCCGTCAGGAGCTTGATCGGGTCCAGGTTGTGCGTGATGGGGATCACGGGCTGCAAGTGGGGGGGATGGTAGTGTCTTTGCATGGATGAATAAAAGACTAAACATTGCAAAGAATAAAGTGTGCATTTCCATTATCTGAAATTAGATAGTACTAAAAGCATGTTAGATGGAGCGAAAGAAGCAGGTCGGCATTGCACCTTTTAGATGGAAACCTTAGTTAATATCGGTGTATATTTTAGAATGGCATTTTTTTCATGAAACAATATTATGACTTAGCCCAAATGCATTTAATGCAGCAGCGATTGATTTAATCGCTTGTATTTAATGACCCAGCATTTTATTTTTTAAAATTCCGCTTTGCTCTATTAATTACTGCCATATTATTGATATTTATTCATAGTTCAAAACACGATTGTAAATGAATGTCATTTTATTATTTAAAATGACAAATGCTTTACACAGCCAGTTATCCCTTTAGACATGCAAATCCATGGATTTAGCAGCAGAAATTGGTGAAGAAAATAGTTATCGATAACAATGTATAACATGAATAAATTAAAAAGATGATAATAATAAGGAATAATAGAAGGATTGTTCACAGGAGAATGAGACAATTATTGAATTTTATATTTACATTGCAGGTCGACGCACGCTCTCGTTTAGAGTTTTGATGTTTATCTCTCTAAAATCTAATCAAAAGGCAAAAAGAAGATTTACACGTGTTAGAGCCCGAAGCTTTGTTCATACTTATAAATACATTGGTTCACTAAACTACTTTCTAGATCTCTACCAAGTGCAGGATAGCCGATGTGTCTCCCAAGGGACGTCCTCGCACTTGAGGAAGTCGACAGAGAGCCCTAGACACTCTTCTTCATGCTAGAAAGGAAAGGTCAGATCAGTCTTTTCTTTCCTCCCGAAGGTGTTGGGAAAGTAGTTGCAGGAGGCCTTCGGGAAACAGGCGAGTTCAAGGTGGAGAACAAGATGGTACAGAAAGGTAGCTCAGGTGTCGCATTAATCAACGTTGAAAGGGTGTAATTCTATTGTTCTTACGCATTGATAAAGCATGGCTTCATTGTTCTTGTGCACTGATTGGGTTTCATTCTATTATTCTTATGTTTTGATAGGGTATAACTCTATTGTTCTTATGCACTGATAAGGTATAATTTTATCATTATTATGCACTGATAGGGTATAACTCTATTATCCCTATGCTGTGATAGGATCTAATTCTATTGTTCTTATGCACTGATTGGGTATAATTTTATTGTTAAAGTGGCTGATGTCGAGGAATGATTGTAGAGCGGGAAATCGTGCAATTTTGGTCTTCACACAAAATTACTATTTTCAAAATAAAAGAGAACTCTTGAAGCACTGTAATATATATATATATATATGTGTGTGTGTGTGTGTGTGTGTGTGTGTGTGTGTGTGTGTGTGTGTGAGAGTTTGTTTGTTTGTGTGTGTGTGTGTGTGTGTGTGTGTGTGTGTGTGTGAGAGTTTGTTTGTTTGTGTGTGTGTGTGTGTGTGTGTGTGTGTGTGTGTGTGTGTGTGTGTGTGTGTGTGTGTGTGTGTGTGTGTGTGTGTGTGTGTGTGCATGTGCATGTGCATGCTTAGCTACAGAAGAATGTCCATTATATACACTCCCTACATTTAACCGGACGATGTATCAACACATTCTGACGGCTATGATAGCATGATTTCAGAGGACAATGTGATGGGCTTGAGGAGACAATGAGGCATAAGTTCGCGCATGTAATATATAGAATGGAAACAGTTACCATCTGGTCATTATCTCTTTGCACTGAACACTGTCGAGGAAAGGTGCAATTAGTTCCAAAATGTATGATCCAGGTAAGTGAGATACTCGACATCGATAAAGCTTCATCAGAGAGAGAGAGAGAGAGAGAGAGAGAGAGAGAGAGAGAGAGAGAGAGAGAGAGAGAGAGAGAGAGAGAGAGAGAGAGAGAGAGAGAGATTGATTGATTCGGCTGTAGCGTAGAAGAGGATATTATCCGAACATTCAGTAAATGGAAGGAAATACACTGGCTTCTGAAGTACTTATGAAAATGAGTTTAGCTGTTCTGGAAAGAGGTTAGAAAATGGCGAGACAAGTATGACATTACAAATGTACAGACAAGGGGTTAATCTTCACTACAAAAAAATCCTACAAGACTAATTCTAATTAATGTGCATGGAAGATAGCCATGAGGTTGAGAAATCAAACAAAATCAATATAAAATCTACAGGTGTGAAAGAATGGATGTCATAATAGGGAATGATGATGACTCATGGAAGACTATGGTAATGTCATCTGTACCAAGGCGTCTTCTCAACCTGTGATCCTTAACACAACTTGCACAAACAATGTGTTCTCACATTCGTCGCCTGCAGAAGACACGTCCGCAAAATCGGGTCCGGTTGGCATCGCCGGAAGGGAAGTTTGGCCGAATCGACGATGATGTGAATGATGAACATATGAAGATATGGAAAAAGCGGAATCATAACAAATAAGGGAAATAATTATCATAATTATACCAACAAACTTAAAGACATTCTGAAAATACACGAAATACATGTCTCCTACGTTGAGTTTCTGTAGGAGAGGAAGCCATAGCTTGTCCATGAGGTCGCGTCTGTAGTGCTTCGTGAAGCAACCGACGTAGGAGATGAAGGCAGCCACCAGCAGGATGTCCCCGGGCAAGGTCTTCTCCGAAATGTGCATCCTGAAGGGGAGAAGCGCAGAATAACGTCAGTAGTTTGTGGCTACTTGGACTAAAAGACAAGGAGGTATAGTAGGAGAGGTTGGAGGAGGAAATAAGAATATATAAAATGAAGGTAAAGGTAAGGAAAGAGAGAGCGAAAAAGATGAGAAGAGAGAGACATACGATCCTTAGCCTCACTTACTGCGCCACGGCTTCAGCCCAGCGGATCTTCTCCGAGGACAGCCCTCCGACCAGGCGGTTGGCGAGGGCGATGGTGTGGGCGGTGCTGTTCGCTTCCTTCTCGCACCTCATTTTCTCGGCCGTCGCTTTGTCGAACTCTGCCTGAAGTCGCGCCAACTGTTCCTCCAAGCTCTGTTAAGGAACAAGTGAATTTAAGAAATTAAATACCTTGAATCTGAGAGACATAACTAACAAGTGTCCTGAATAAGGAAACCAAGGGATAGACACATAAACTGAGAACGCTCACCTTGATCTTGGAGATAATGGCGGTGAGGCGACTCTGGGCCGCAGCCAGCTCGTTGTTGGCGTCCTCCAGGGCGCGGCGCTTGGGCTCCACGTCGCAGTAAACCTCGTAGTAACTGATGATGTTGATGACCCACGAGCACAGGCCTGAGGAAACGGCAGGGTGAGCGAGGTCTACTTCCAGGTGAAATATAACAAATACAAAGGTCTAACACAGCGGCCTCATTCACAATACATTTCATACCTGTCTTAAATAATAATAGTAGTAATAATACAATGGCTAAGCTACAGCTTAATAAAATAATAATAATAAAGTTAAAGACATAACGTTAATATATACCTGCAGCAGCAACAGACTTAGAACGGATGAAGTCTGGGTTGAATTCATTGTCCTCAAGATAAGGTGTAATGTTCTTGATGATATCTGGATGAATGTTTTCCTTGTCGTAGTTAATGAGCTGGTCCAAGAACTGGTCCACCTTCGCCATCATCACCTGGTGGAAACAAGACAGAAGGATGATAATAAAATGACACAAAGATTATTTACAATACTAATTCAAGCGGCCTTTCCTTTCAAAGCCTCTAATGGTTTTCCCTGGGAAGTTTCTTTCTAAATACAAAACGGAAATGAAGGTCAGTGATCTAGATCTTTACCTTGGCTGCTTTCCAAGACCTGTCCTTTGGAATTTTACCATTGGGGGCCAGCAGCACCATCACGGCTGCCGTCACCCTGTCCACGCCCGACGGAGGCGATCCGAAGGACTTCAGCTCCGTGAGATTTGCCTGCGGAAAGTGTTAGATTAGAAATCACTTACTCATCCATATAAATTTACCTATAGACATAGCCTTGATGACAGTCTCCATGACTTTTCACCTTGTTAAGCGTGTTGAGCGCTTCCTTTGCCGCGACGAGTGCAGGTTCTGCCTTGACCAGGTCCTCCTCGCACTCCTTCCGTCGCTTGGCCACTTCGGCCTCGATGATGGCGACCTTCCGCTTCTCTTCATTGGCGATTTCGTTTTCTTTCGACACCTGTGGATAGAATAACGATCTAGACAGTGACAGAAAGAAATGTCCATGTGTTACTTTTTCTACAATTAATATATTTGCTTTAAAAGTACGTCTATTCATCCCAAGGCAAAAGATGAATACGAAACTTCTATTTACCTTTGCTGTCTCGGCTTCCACGATGCGGATCAACTTATCGGCTTCGTCGTTCTTCTTCTGGAGTTCCACCTCCTGGACGGCGAGCTTGGCCTTGAGCTCGTCCACCTGAGGAACACGAGCGCTCGTCGGTTAGCGATTTCTGTCCGGCTTTGCTGGCCTATTGTCTAGTCTCTTCACTCACTAACTGTAGTTGGCATTGCGTTGGGCGAACTGTGCCTTATTCTAATGCAATAGATGTGTGTGCATGTGAGAGAGAGAGAGAGATAGAGAAAGAGAGAGAGAGAGGGAGGGAGAGAGAGAGAGAGAGAGCGAAAGGAATATAGACAGCAAGACCGACACACCTGTGTGGAGGTCGTCCTGAGCTTCTGCAGGCCGTTCTGCAGCCTCTCGATCTTGGCTTGGAGTTCCTGGTGCTTGGCCGAGAGGAGCTTCGTGTAGAGCGAGATGAAGCCCAGGAAGGTCTTGGGCGTCGTGTAGTTGTAGCGGCGGTCGTTGGTCAGGTAGAGTCGGCTCATGTCGTTCACGGACGTGTGGACGTGCGCCATGAACTTGGACACGGAGCCTCGCAGGGATTCCTGCGAAACGTCACATTTATGTATCGCCGCGAGAATCATTCCTAGCATCGCTTGCGCATCAGACTAGATTTCGATACCTTTCTGTGTTTGTAGACACCATTGATATCTCTTTACCATATCCGAATTGCCATCTAGGAGAACTGACGCCACATTACCAGATAATAGTAGATAAGTTACTTACAGGAAGATATTCGAGAGTTCCGAGGAATGTTTCCGAGACGGACACCAGCGCCTCTTGCGGCCATTCGTGGAACCAGTCAATGGTCGTGCAGCTGATGATGGCGGGGAACTGTCGAGCTCGCACTCTGACGAAGTGCAAAGCAGATATTGTTATTCTTCACTGGTTAATTTCTGTGTCGCGGTATTTCTTATACTCCTCCTTTACCGGTAAACGTACCTCGAGGGTCAGACATACCTGAGAGCGGAGCCGACGGGCGAGAAGCACAGGACCATCTTCAGGTTCTTCCTCACTCGGTCGATGAAGAACCTCCAGCAGTTGTCGCGCGTGTCCTGCTGACCTGTGCTCTTGACCTGGAGGTTGGATTGTGTGTGTGTTTGTGTGGGAGGTAGACGGCGAGAAGGACGAGTGAGAGTGTGGTAAGAGTGAAAATGGTTTGTGTAATTGAATGATTTACAACGATATATGTACAAGACGAAGGGGAGAAGTGTGCAAAGAGGGAAGTAAAAATGGCATCATTAGTAACTTTAAAATTATTTTCTCAGAATTGTTAGAGTATTCATGACTGTAATGTCAACCAATGAAATATATCACAAGTGTGAGGGAACAGGTTTCAGGCTGGTGTTTTTTTTTCCAGGAAACACCGTATTCAAAATTGTCTTATTGCTGAATTAAAAAAAATACTTTTAAGTATACATGCATATGAGTTTATATATCGAAATACTACGTAAGGTTTTATATATCTAATCGTATAATGTGTTCCCCTCACATATATATCATTTAGGCATATTACTATATTCAAAATTGGATTGCCTTTCCTGAATTATGTATATCTGAATCTACTAATACATCCTACGAAAAAATATATCTAAAAAATGTATAAATCTACTTCCACGGGTGCTGTACAGTGCATAGCCTGACGCACTGGCTGTGCCGCACCCTGCTTGGAGCAGCAGCTGCTTGCTAACACTAGACAAAAACTGTTTCTGCTGCACGTGACCGCGCGAGAGGTGGGCTGGTCGTAAGGTAGTTACGGTGAGGAGCAGGTCAAGGCTACGGTGGGGAGCGGCCACGGCTACCGTGAAGAGGCGCTCAGCGCTACAGTGGGGTGACCCGGTGTACAGAGGGGGCACCATGGGGGTAGCGGTGGGACCCCGGGGTCGGCTCTCGGGGGGACGGAGGCACTCCAGGAGAAAGGGGGCGGGGTTGCACGGCGGAATAACGGAATAACATGAAACGCGTCGAAGGAATCCACGAATTTTCCTTTTTTAAATGTATCCTGTGAAGTCACAGTCATTAGCGGTATTTGTGAAAGCGTGTGTGGAATGAAGGACAGGGCTGTTTGTTTAAGTTTTATGTATTGTGAATGTTTTCCTGTGTCTTCATGCGTGAGCACAAATATAAACACAGCAGCGTGTGTACACAGTAACATGAAACACTGACATGATATGGGAAATAAAAACGTGACGTTTCGAAATCGTCAAAAGTTCCTCATCAGGCGTTGTAAAATTCGCAATGGATCCATTTCGGTTTTTACTGCATCTGATGAAGAGACTTCACGTCGCGTTTTTATTCCGTTCATTTTGTGGCAGTTTAATTTTGCCTTCGTATTTGTCTGCATGTGTTTTTGTTTATGCAGTGTCTTGAAGTCGTCGTTTTACAAAGATGATGAATTTACTATCTACATCAACACATTTAAATTATTAGAAAGTACCGTACTTATTTATATTCGCTATTCATCATGTCTGCACAAGGTGAGTTATTTGGCAAAATTGAAATCCCGTCATAACACTATACATGGACTTATTTTCGTCTTCATACACATACATCAAATATTGGATTCTTATTTAGAAATGCGTAGATTTGAAGGATGTATTAATTTGTTTATCATATTACTGTTGTTATTAATATTCAGTTATCATATAGACTTTGACTGTTTCCCTAAATTCGATGGGAACGTCTTCGGACTGTATCCATAAACATTCTTTTTTCCTCACACATACTCATAGATTCCAAATGAAATGGAATATTGATGTTTCCTTTACCCATAGATAATCTTACATTATGATCCCCATAATGTTTTTTATTCACGAAGTCTGAAATCACAGTGAAAATGGGATTGGAGGATCACACGGAAGGATAGCACATGTCTGCGTACACAATCCCACACACACACACACACACACACACACATACACACACACACACACAC